GCGCTATCTTCATCCAAAATAAGCAAAACTTGTGGGCGACCTATTCAAATACTTTTTGAATGCAATACCTAGTGTGGAGGTCTGTCTTTTGTTTTGTGCCATTGATCTGGCAATAAATATTTTTATTTTCATTTTCTCTCACCAATGTGTTCGTTCGTTCGTCCGTTTCAGCCAAATGACGTCCAAGGTTTTCCAATGCAATGTGTTCATGCAAGCACATTTTTATTACACGGAGATCGAACCCACACCCACACACCTCTGGCGTAGTACCTACAGTCTATCTGGAATTAGCAAGCCATGCGGCCATAATACCGCAATCAAATCAACCAATTACTCATAATGAGTCGCTCCCCTCTCGCTGGCACATCGTATATGCATTTAATTAATTTTATTATACACAACGGTGTCACCAAGCGTGAAATTCAAATTGAACCTGCGCGGGCAGCCCTTTAATAACCGATGCTAAAACAATGGATGATTACATGAAAATGAGCCCCGAAAACAGGGCAAAGAGTCGACTTAGTAGATACAGACAACAGAGGTATTTGAGAGCTGTAGACGGTAATGGGACAATTAACTTACGAAGGGATAATTAAATTGTAGTTTTAGTAATTAACTGTATAAAAACTCAAAATGATACAAAAGTTTCAAGATACATCTCATCTGTACAAAGGTATCTCGCGATTGAAATACAAAAACTGAAGTTATTAATCTAAAAAAAGACAGTTATTAATTTAATTAAGACAGAATTTTCAACTAAATCCGTGAAATTAATAAAGAGTGACCTATAAAGAGTGCAATCAATTTTATCATGCAATAAAATATCCATAAAATCAAGCAATTTTATTGCTTAAAAGGCAGTTTCAAAAACTGTCAAGTCTTCATTAATTTAATCTTTGGCATCGCGGCTGACCCTGCGTCAGCACATGCCTGAAACGAGTCGGGGCGATATTGAAATATGTAATTTTAACCTACCTCAAACCCCCATTGTAAACAACGGCCCTTAGCTGGCCTTTATCAATATTTTTATGAAGAAAGGACTGGACAAAATGGATGGTCATTTACATAACCTTTTATGAAGACACTTTATTTTTGACGAGCAGCACTTTTCCCGAAAATTGTTTTAGGAAGTGAGTAAATTTGAAGACTTTACAATGGATATTCTTTGGGTATTATATGGCTTTCTAGGTGGTTGAGGTACGTGCTTCCTAAAATCTTATTTAAGTATCTGAGTTTAGTATACAATTTATTATCTGACGGTTAAATTCCCATGAGACTTAAGGCTTGTTCCCACAAAGACATTACCTACTTTTTTGCAGGATCCCGTTTAGCAGTATACGTTTTAATATTAACGTCCACACGAACATCCCGTTTGCAGAGAATCAAACAGACATAGTGTGTTAACACAAAAATCCAGTTTTCCGGGATTCTGCATTTCTAGATCCAGCAAATTTGGAATACTATGGCAACGAGCTCTTATACTTCCCGATAAGAACATTATTCTACAAAGGACGATATTAGGACAAGTGAAGCATAACTCAAAAATAAGTCAGAACTCTGAATGAAGAATGCTTATATTCTTCGGTTGCTGACATGCTAAAACGTCACTCAAGGCATTCCGGCAGCTCCAGCATTAGACCGCCGAACGCCGCGTCAGCGCTGAGTGGGGTCAGTAAATCGCTCAACGCGAGCGACGTCAACGTAAATTATTAGTTCAGTTATTGTTTTAGATCGCAGTCATAAAAACGTAACCGTAGATAGATACCATTTATGATAGGTCTAGACTAGGAATTTGATAAACACCCTTCTACGAGTACAAACTACAGCAAATTATTCAAATACATATGTATGTCTTATGGATAACTGGCATCTGGCAGAGAATGACATAAGGCATTAAGTTTGCCTTTCATACAGTAATTTTGTTTTGTGCGCAACAAAGTTTTTAATAATAAAAAATAACGGATCAATTTAGTCCTCTCAAAAGTAAATATTTTGGGATAAATTAATAAAGTACAAATTAAAATCTATCATAAAGTATGATTTTCCATAATGTAACAACACCCTAAACAAAGAATAAATACGCGGGAAGACCCCTACCAATAACACCCTTAATTTCTCCGCATGATGAGCTGATTTGTAACGACTAACGATGAATCAACGAGTTAACCAGAGGGTATGATAATGTACATTTTCTTAAACAAACAACACACGTCTAAATGCCGTGTAACACGCAACCTAACCGTTTTCCATTACACCCTCCCGTCACTCGGGGCCCATCAATAACGTTTCTGCTTTGTCACAGCCGCACTGGCACAGTTTTTACTCGACAATTACGCACTGTAGCCGGTGATTTATGGACGGACTGACCGTCAGCAGACGGACTCGGACATGCTGACTGAATAACTTGTCTAGATCTGGCCCATGATTTATCATTCCAAGACCCTAAAGTAGCTCCTCGAACTGCCTGCTGGCTCTTCAAAGCAAGAGCGAACAGGTTTACATTTACAAATCTGGTATTTACTAACCTAACATCACTCCCAAGTAACATTTTACTCCATTTAAGAGTTCAATAGTCGTTCACATGTACTCCACAAGCTGTGTATGTCAGCTGTATACGAGCTGTATAGCTTGCTATAATGCTTTTATAGAACCAGTTTGGGCACAAATTAGACAGCTTTAAGTTCACTATGGCTGTACATTAGCAGTATAATAGCATTATAATAGCAGTTTAAGTAGTAACATCGTACTTAAGGCTGACTTACGGCACTATATGGGACGCAGTGTGAACCATACAACGTACGTGAGGACAATAAAGAGTAACAAGTNTGTAATACCAAGTCCAGGCCAGGAAATCTTTAACGTTTTACATAAATATATTGACTTGGCCATCGCATAAAAACACGTGTAAACAAATTAAATTATTTAGTGCGATGGCCAAGTCAATATATTTATGTAAAACGTTAAAGATTTCCTGGCCTGGACTTGGTATTACATGGATCTCACAACTTTTTACCGTAGAACAACTGAGTTGCGAGACTTGGTTTTTTTGACAAGTATTGTTTTTGATGGGATAATAATATGTGTGAATCGAGTCCGTCCCTAGGCGCAGACCACCGATTTTTTGCCGGCTCATAGTTTAGTCACGCAGTTAATCAGTTTGGGCATATTTAGAAGTGCGCACATTACACCGATTGATTCTTCATACAAATTAGAATCAGGCCCAACTATCGGCCGACTATAAATTGGTGGTCTGCGCCTAGGCTTATAATTATAAAGAATGATGTCTCTTTTTAAGCTTAAGCCTGTGCCAGAGACACCGCTCTTCCTTAGGATATTTTTAAACAATAATAAATATGTTATATTTATGTTACAAACTGATGACGAAACTAATACATGATTTAACGTGATAATTGGTTGGTCTTTTTCAAATGGCTCTAGATTATTGTTACCACGCACCTGGTAGCCGTGACGTCACATCGACGCTCTGGTACGAATGAGGCGAACGCAGGTAGGTATGCGGATATGTACAAGAGTCAAATTCCAGCGAGGTGCGCAGTTACCTCAATAGGGTTGTACGTATTGTTTCAGAATTGAGTGCCATCATACTAAGGACCTAAAAACCTTTGTTTTAGGATTGGCAAAATTTGTAACATCACAAAAGGGAAATCGGCTGCTAAAACTGAACCAGTACCGGTATTACGCGGCGAAAAAGACATCTACTAGTAGAGTTACTAGATGGCGCTGCTCTACGCACCTCAGTCGAGGATGCAAAGCCTTTGTGAAGACGATGGATGATAGCATCCTCCTTGCGGACGAGTCACACAACCATGAAGCTAGACTAGATTATTTTTTATAGTTAGTGGTAATTTATTTTCTATAGATCGGACATCGAAAGAATAGGAGAGATCGTGTTTACAATAATTTTATCTTCAACTACTATAATAATATTATAACTAAGTTGATTAGGTAAATATGTTACGTAATTATTATTATTAAGTTACATATTTGTAATCGATTGTCATTTTAAAACTAAAACTAACCCTAGATTAATATAGTTCTAATTACATACTATTGTAAACACTGGGTTGTTTAAGTGAATAAATATTTATTCATTTCATAAAAATATTTATTTCCTATCTTTATTAATGTACTAGCGGCCGCCCACGACTTCGTACGCGTGGACCCCGTTTTACCCTTAGGGGTGAAGTTTCGAGTTTTTTAGGGTTTACCCGGAAATTATTCAAACTTTTCTCATTGTAAAAACCATCCTTGGACTTCAACAAACATTTAAAAAAAAGAATTGGTAAAATTGGTCCAGGCGTTGTTGAGTTATGCGCTTACCAACACATTTTGCGATTCATCCCAACTAATATTATAAATGCGAAAGTAACTCTGTCTGTCTGTCTGTCTGTCTGTCTGTCTGTCTGTCTGTCTGTCTGTCTGTCTGTCTGTTACGCTTTCCCGCTTAAACCTCGCAACCGATTTTGATGAAATTTGGCATAGAGATAGTTTGAGTCCCGGGAAAGAAAATAGGATAGTTTTTATCCCGGTTTTTGAAACAGGGACGCGCGCGATAAAGTTTTTCTGTGACAGACAAAATTCCACGTGGGCGAAGCCGCGGGCGGAAAGCTAGTTTTTATATAGATGTACGAGGGCGCATCGAGCTCGAGCAGTTACACCTTATGTAGTGGTTAAGGGTACGTATAATTTTGCAAAAAAATGTGTACTTAAAAAATAATTGCTGATGTAGTAACTTATTGTCTAAATTCTAAAGTATCTTTGCATTCAGATAGTGTTGGGAACCGTTAGGTGGACCAACCTCTTTTGATATTATTGTCTATGTTTTTATACTTTTTTTACTCTTTTCGATACCTTTCGTTTTTAGTTTTTTTAGTATATGTTTTTGATAGCCGTCTGGGAATTTATCGCAGAAATAAACCTTTATTTTAAACCGAAAGTATTTTCTTATTTCCGTACGCCCGAGCGGCTGTCCGCCACAGATAGTGATCGCCAATTATACCCAAATCTGAGTATCTCATTTAATCCCACAGACATAAAACCCGGTACAATAATCCCTTACAAGGTGACGATATCAAGACAAGGAAGAAAACTACTACTGATCGGAGGGTTCAGGTTTTCCAAAGAGAAGCAGTACCGCAACGGGAAGACACGGTGGCACTGTTCGACGCATCACAACAACCAAGTTATAAAGTGCAAAGCGTATGCGCACACGCTGGCTGACGTCATAATACGACTGAGGAACGACCATACACACGGCTTGCCTAACTTTCTGAAGTAATACCAACGATTTTAACAATAAAGACGTTGATCTTATGAACCCAGACAGGGATCAATACCGTATCGTCCTTTCGCCGCGCTGTCTACCGCGAGGCGAGGCATTAAAGGCTTCGGCAGACCAAACGCGGGGCAGTAGCAGCGCAGTTTGAATGCGGGCCCGCGCAAGTTGTAATACAAGATACTCTTTGAAGTGTGTCACACCGAATTTGAACCCGGGCCCGCGCTCCAACCGCGCCGCACTGTAACTGCCGAACGATAAACCAGGCGGCGCGGGAGCGGGACAGAAGCGGCGCGAGCGCGGGCCCGCGCTGTTGTATTATTATGGCGGCCATATTAGTATGACACACCGGAGGCAGGGCGGTAGCAGCGCGTTGAAAGCGGTTTTCGAATTTTGAATTTTTTGACAACCGCCCGCGTTGCTACTGCTTTGAAACTGCGCTGACTTCAGTGTGCCTACTGCCGCACTGCAACTGACCCGCACTGCTTCTGACCCGCGTTTGGTTTGTGGAAGCCCTTACGCTACGTATTCACAAACATTACTATGAGGTCTCACAGTGCGCGTGGACGCACAGGTTGACACACGAACCATCACAGAGCTCTATTCAACGCTGTGCGTTCGATTTGATGCTTCACTTAAGCAAGCAATGTGAATACATGCGTTAATGTGCGGTGCGTTGCAGTACGGAGTTTCTGAATACAAAGAATACTGACCACCTCGAGTTGATACGGTTACGATCCGTTTCCGGGTTGATAAGTGTGCTTTGTATATGTAGGAAAAGCACTGCAGCGTCTGTAATTTCATGTTATTTACCAGATGTAGAATTTTTACCTCTCTTTTTGCATTTTTAACCAAATGACATTACAACTCTAGAAAATAAGCTAATTATAATTATACTTTATTCATTTGTTTTTATTGTAGATTTGTGCGGGTTGCACCAATCGTCAGTGTCAAGTTAATTACTTACAATTCATTTAGTTTAAGTCATAACGAGTACTGCGATCAAGTATTCTTGAGAATTTGCATAGATGATGCACTATTTTGTTTCTTTTAACTAGTCCAATAGTATTACCAGACATATTACCGTTTTAATCGATACTGTATCTACCTGTGTGTTACCAATGATGACGAAACAATTGAAATATTACCTTTTTTTAATCCATTTTACTTGTTTTGTCATTTTACCATAGCCTTTCTATAATGTTAGATGTCTCACAAGACCGGTTTTTTTTTTAAATTTGGCTTTGGTGAGCTCGTCTTTTGGTCAAGTATGAACTTTTAAAATGTTCTATACATTAGTAGAATATGACACTATAGCTGGAAATCTCAATTCAAAAACCGGGCCATATTACCTGATACTTGATTCGAATGTTGATTATCCATTTTATCTAGGTGCGTTCGAGATGGTGATGTCCCGAAAAGGCAAACCGATGATCAAGATTGGTGGATACTCCTACAAGAGTGTGCCCTCGAACACTCCCAAGACACGATGGGTGTGCTCCACACACCACAACCAAGGATGCAGGGCTAACGTCATCACTTTCGACAGCGAAATTATCAAGTCTAATACTAAACACACTCATGATTTTAATAAAACTGTTAATTATTACACGCCAGATAAGTTCTAAATTGCAAACGTGTCAGGGCAAGGGCAGCGTGGAATGTCCACCCACAAACTAGGAATGTTATGGACATGTAGTTTCGGTTATGGATACGGTTACGGATATAGGAATAATATTATACCGGTTTCGTTTACAGTTACGGATATTTTTTTATTTCGGATATCCGAAAGTTTCGGTTACGGTTACGGATATCTGTGCTTTAGAATGCAATTAGCAATAGTCGTCCAACACGGTTCATTTATGGCCGCACACTTTACATCTAATAAAAAGATAAAAATTGATACTAAATGGCATTATAATGGCAAATCAGGCTGTTATGCCTTTACATATAATGCTATAGGTACCAAAAAACAATTTAAATTTCCTACATCTGAAACTATCCGAAACTTTTGAATCGGTTACGGTTACGGTTTCGGATATTTTTTTATTTTGGATATCCGAAAGTTTCGGTTACGGTTACGGATATCCATAACATCCCTGCCACAAAGTACATAGACAGTTGTCCTCAGAAGGAAGATACTGGATGCAGGCCGCTGCCAACCGGACAATCTGAAAATCATTGGGTGAGGCCTATCCAGAAGTGGACGTCCTGAGGCTGAAATGTTGATGATGACAATGAAAGTTCTTTTACGTAAATAATTGTGTCTTAATACAAAAAAGTTAAACGTCATACCAAATGTCAATTTAAAGTAAGAGTAACTAGAGTTTAACTTTTTGTAATAAGGGGGTTTTGCAGTGACAACAGACTAGATATTTCATTTATTAAGTACATATACAGAACGTATTTTCAAGCGTGGTTAAAAATAGTAATATATTTTTACAAAGTGTAAGATAATAAGTCAGTCAATCAATCAATGCTTTACTATATTATTCTGTGTGTCATTACTTCATAGACTGATAAGTATTTTTTAAATAAACGTACTGAAAGTTTCTTTTACGAGTACTTCTTTGTTTTTTTCTTTGAGTTCTGTTATGTCAATTTAAACTAGTGATCAACGCGAATTTAACTTTGGTCGCGCGTCCTGTTCAGCTAAAGCTTCAGCCAAACCAACGCGAAATGACAGGACGCGCACCCTGTCTTTGGCCTATTCACGCGCAGTGGTCGCCATCACCGACGCGATCTGCACGCGTTGGTTTGGCTGAAGCTTAAATCGTTTTGTATGTTACCTGCGTGCATGCGTGCTCCAAGCGTTCATTGCCGCGTACGCGTCTAGTAGGTAGGTAACCTACGCTGAGCCGCCATGGACAGTGATGATTATGTTCATTTTCAGGTACTATGCAGTTCATAGTATCGCAAAGGGGTAAACGGATGCTCTGCCATAACGGGTGGAGATATCGCTTCTCCTATAAAAAGGGAGGGATAACCCGGTGGCGCTGCCACTCGGCCCGCTGGCGCTGTCCTGCTTACGTATTTACAGAAAAAGATGTTGTTGTGTCATTCAATGATAATCATAGTCATAGTAAGAATAATAAGAATAAATGATTTTTAAAAGGTTTCTTAGTGACTAATATATGTATATTTTTCCAGTTTTCATTGATGCTCCGTTACTATTAGTCGTAGCGTGATGGTGTATAGCTACATTCCTTGATGAATGGCGAACAGATTAGCTCGTTCAAGCAAACAAACTCTTCAGCTTTATTATATTAAGTACAGATTTGTATTTCACAAAATAATTAACACCTCGTGCTAAGCTAAATAAGTATGCTTGTGTTACGAGTGGGTTCACTACCTACAATAGTCCATCGGGCGGCGAGGTTCGAATGCGTACTTTATAAAGGCTTGGGCAGACCAAACGCGGGGCAGTAGCAGCGCAGTTTGAATGCGGGCCCGTGCAAGTTGTAATACAAGAAACTCTTTGAAGTGTGTCACACTAAATTTGAACGCGGGCCCGCGCTGCACTAAAACTGCCGAACGACAAACGAGGCGGCACGGGTGCGGGACAGAAACGGCGCGAACGCGGGCCCGCGCTGTTGTATTACTATAGCGGCCATATTAGCATGACACACCGGACGCCGGTTGCAACTGCTTTGAAACTGCGCTGCTTTCAGTGTGCCTCAGCCGCACTGCAACTGACCCGCACTGCTTCTGACCCGCGTTTGGTCTGTGGAAGGCTTAAATCTTGATTCGGCCATTCCGACACCAACACCATTGCGCTATTGTCGCTAGTATCCTTTATGTGTAACCCTGAAGATTGTAAGAATAACATGTTGATAAAATTTCAGATACGCAGTTCATAATATCGCAAAAAGGTAAACGGATGCTGTACCACAATGAGAGGAGGTATAGATTCTGCTCTAAGTCAAGAGCGAAGACTCGCTGGCGGTGCTCCACTACCGGATGCCGTGCTTACGTCCACACAGTTAAAGATGTTGTGGTATCAGTTCATGATCAACATAATCATAAGTATAAGAATAAATGTTAATTGTTGAAGTGATTTTCTTGTATTAGCTTTCTTTTTCGCGTTAGACCCCGTTTCCACCACAGTGAAGAGGAGAAGAGATGTGTTTCTCTTCGCATCTCTTCTTTCTGCTTTGGTGGAACCTTGGCCTTAAACTTTGGACCCCCATTTCATCTACTTATAGCGGATGACTGTTACAGTTCACAGTACCTTGCCTTATACAGATTCATTGAGAATTTGAGACGCTTCACTGAGACCTGGAAAAATTCTAATTCTAATTCTAATTCTAGTCCAAGCGACTAGCGTAAGTAATGAATGAATCTTAAGGTGCGTCTACACCAGGCTTGTGAGGCACGCTCGACATTCTGCTTAATCAAGAGCAGGAAGAACAGGATCCCAAGCATGTCTCGCGAGCACATGCGTCCGGTGTGGACGCACCTTCAAAGGTGTTGAATTGGCAGTCTTGACACAAATTGGTTTTTAGTTGTAACATAATCTTTTTCAACGGTTTTTAGTTGTAACATAATCTTTTTCAAAAGATTTTTTTTTAATGTTGCTTATCTCGCTAACCCCTTGTGGTAATCTGAATATTATTATGCTTGTGTTTCGAATGGGTTCACTATAGAAGTCGAGCGGTGGGGTTCGAACCCGGGTTCCTGGGATCACGAGTCGGCCAATCTGATACCTTCACCGTTCGGTTATTGTCACCAGTGTGCTTACCATGAGTTTACGTTAGGTGTGCTCGCTAGCGACTGCGTAAAAAAATGACATTTAATTGTATGACATATTGTGCAGCGCCCCTAGCGGCTACTTTCAAGAAACAAAATCTTCATAGAGATTTTTGACGTACTCGCTAGCGAGCACACCTAACGTAAACTCATGGTAGGTACACTGTATCCATTATGCGAAGTTTAGACTAGCAATAAAACTTGCAGAAGTTGACTACCATAAGCTGTTTACCACTGCTGTGATAATCCAAGTTCCAACTTCTGCAAGATTTACATAGTGGTGACAGTTTGCGGAAGTCAACTTCCGTAAGTTTTACTGCTAGTCTAAACCTCGCTTTAAATGTTAAATTAGTGTTCATTTAAAAGGTCTAAATCTATATACTAACTTTTATACCATTTCAGGTTCGTTAGCGGAATATTATTTTATAATATCGAAAAAGGGGAAGCGAATGCTGGTTTATGACGGACATAGGTTCCGGTTCTCCATCAAGACCAGCGTCAAGGAGCGGTGGAGGTGCTCCACGAGGTTCTGTCGTGCTGTCATACATACAGTTGAAGAGCAAATAGTTATGGTTAATAATAAACATACCCATGAGTGAAATTATTTGGTGTTAGGGCTTGTTAGGATCCCGTTTAGTACTTAGTATCCGTGTTTAATGTTAACCTTCACACGAACACCGTTTGCGGAGTCCCGAAAAGTGCTGGAAATCCTGAATTACTGGATACCGCAGAACTGGATTGCCGTGGGAACGAGCTCTTACTTGTGAAAAAAAATTGTAAACCGCTTGCTGAGGTTTTTAGGGCTTACTGAACAAGAGTGTACGGTCGACAGCACGTCAACGTAAACACTGCGGTATCTTACGTAGTTGCGATAGGGGCGAGTTTGCAACGAAAATGTATAGCTTGATGTGCTGTACTTGGTTTTGTGTTGACTTAAAATATTTATTAACTACATATTTACTTTAAAAGTCTATCACTTACCAATTTACTTTTGGTACTCCGTGGTACATAGTAATAATAATGTGTTCCTGCAAATAAATGTTTTATGTGTGTATCTATCTAAAACCTTTTAACCTGTGCAGGTGCCCAAAAATGGATAACAGGGAGAGGAAACTTGCACACTTGATGTTTAAATTATTACAGTATTCGTAAAACTTCATGTTTGATGTATTGATCTAGTAAATAAGACACTATTTATCAAATTATATGTGTTTGTCACAAAATCGAATTGATCACAATTTTAGAAGATACCAAAATTTTTTAGCTTGATGTTCCATCGTATTATCCTTAAAACTATAAGTTGACCTTTGAGAGATGTGTAAATATTATTTATTTGTACAATTAATTTATGTGTGTTTAGAAATTATTAATAGAGATAGACAAGCGGCTGGGTCTAGGGTTGCCAGGTCCAAAAACACAAAAGCCGGACTCTATGCTTCTTTTGGCCGGACATTTTCCCCTAAAACCCGGACATGTCGTCGCGGGGGGGGGTGCAATTAGCGTCATAGCACACGAGTGAGTACTATCATCGGTTGCCCAACATCCTGATTCTGTACTCGACTTTTGCGTTTTACTGGCCACATAAAAAGCCTAACAAAAGCCGGACAGGCCGGACAAGACCGTAAAAAGCCGGACAAGACCGTAAAAAGCCGGACGCCTGGCAACCCTAGCTGGGTCGAGTGTAGAAGTGGAGTCATTGTAAATTTACTCGAAAAGGAAATAAATATTGTCCAGAAATGTTCTTACATTTGCTATTAAAAAATCGTTACTCTAATACATCATTATGACTCTGAAGAAAAGCAAATTTTGATTTCGACTGTATATTTTCCTACTGTTTTATTTTACAAATAATGTCTTAAAACTTAATTGCACATAATAATAATAATATTTAGTAGCACTGCACGTTGCTTATTTAACCTTTACTTTCCTTCATACAGGTCTACAATATTTTTTTCTTTTCAGATGGAAAACCCTCTCGCGGTGGCCAGAGTAATTTTTCCGGTTACCGGT